TTCTTTATGTGTAATTGAGTGAGTGTACAATGTGATTTGATGTGAACATATTGACGAGTGGTTAACACGAAATAAAACAGGGCCATAAATCTGTAGTTGGTAGAACTTATGTTTCAACACAAATTTAATGCATTTTTTTCTTCGTATAGTTTTGCTATGCAGTCATCGGATGACTCGACTTATGGAATCATCCACAGTTATTCTTAAATAGTGTATTGACACGTGTCCTACAATAAATGTCCTTCGGACAAGTGTCAATACACTAAGTTATGGATGGCTCCATAAGAAAACTATCTGATGATTACGTAGAATTTTTGTTTCTTGGTATGTGGTATTGTGGTGTGTGGTGTGGACGGGTGTACACAGTAGACGCGATTATTGACTGACCTGTCCGAATAAAAGGAGCCTACAAATTCAAATCCAGATTCCAAAGACATCTATCTTCCATATGATACTCCTGCAAAATTTGTACTCTCACCCAATAACAACTAAAAGGACATGAATTATTATTGTTTGTGTTTTTTTTTTTCTTTCTTTATTCTTTTACTAATAATATTAATTCCTTCGATCATGTACAATACTTTGAGTCTAATCTTGCTTACATGACATGTAAATAGACTTAAGTCTTGGACGACATGGACAAAAATATAAAAAAGTAAAGAACTCCAATGTAAAGAGATTATGTCTCTACTTGGGTCTAAAATAGACTCAAGGGTAGACTGAAGTCTCATTTTCTTGCTGCCACATCAGCAGAACTCAGTTCAATTGCATTTGCATTAGAGTATATATTTTTCTAGACCGGGTCTATTTCCTATGTGGCCTGTATATTTTTTTGAAAGAACTCAAAGCATTGTGGATGCTCTTAGACAAAAAACATATGAGTGAAATTCACGCCCACACTTACATGGATATATCAACTTTGGCATGTAAACATAAGAAGATGTTACAATCTCGTTACGGAATTATTCTGTCGAATTTTGTAACCGTTAGATCAACTATATCTGACGGTTACAAACCACGACGAAATGGTTTCGTAACGAGACCTTAGCATTTCTCCGTAAAATTATTCTTTTACCAAATATATATATATATATATTATTGAATTGTCACAATTTTTCGTTATTTGTTTTTAATTGATATTTTTTTTCTTACGAGGAAAGAAATAAAAATTTGGATAAGAAATCACCAAAGAAATAAATTTATGCAGCAAATTATTTAGGGTGTGATTGTATATAATTTCAATAGTAAAAAATCCAATCAAAACTCAATTTTTTTTTTTTTTTGCTACAAATCAAAACTCAAATTTAACTCAACTTTAACTCTACCCTACTATCTTCAATATTAATAATATAATTAAATAATATCAACCAATCATTCTTACACATCATATCAACTTTAATTCACTGTTCATCCACTCACATAATTCTAACTAACTATCACTTCCAATCATTTTTCTCATACTTTACATCAAATCAACTTTAATTATTTTATTTAAATATTATTTATTTATTTTTTTTTGGTGCAAATAAGGAGGCTACACAAGCCCACTGAATAATCGATCGAGGGTACGACACTCCAACTCTATCATGGTGCAACCAAATGCCAACACCCGGAGGGGGACTCGCCAACGTATGAAAACCACCCGGGCTTTTAGCCGCCAAAGAAGCCAAGTAATCCGCCGTAAAGTTCGACTCGCGATAGCCGTGACTTATCTCCACCTCCCAAGCACGACCCAAAAGCTCCTTAACACCATTCACAAGGCCACTATGAGCCCCGGAATGAGTACCCTGCTTGACCATCGCCACTATACTCTGGTTGTCCACTTCGACTTGAACCTTGCGAGCCCCGACATCCCAGGCTAACCGTAGCCCTTGAAACAAGCCCCAAAGTTCGGCGCCAATAATGGAACAAAATCCTATATTCATTAAAAAACCATGGACCCACCTACCGTGGTGATCACGGAGTAGCCCACCCGTGCTCGCCATTCCCGATGAAGGATCAAATTAAGCTTCCATCCGTATTGATCTTGATAACCCCCTCCGGCGGAAATGACCACGAGATCCACCGTACTTCCCTTGCAGCCCGCACTCCCAGTTTCCGACCATCGGCCAGCTCACCATCCGCCCGGCGCGCGAATAAAGAGATTTATATATCCACTAACAACTAACCACACCACCCCTTTTCAAAATTAACTATAGTTAAAAATAAACCAAATAAAAACTAGTTTTTTTTTTTACTATTGAAACTATAAACAATCACCACCTTATGAATAAGTGTGAATTGTTCCATAAGTCGTGTCATCTGATGGTTCCATAACAAATTATTGCCAACAGCTAATTATTTATTTTCCATAAATCACCAAACAGATTATTCTCAAACAAAAAATGATTTAAAAAAGAATGCACTGAACCTCTCAAAATTATATATGTGTTCCAAAGTTTAACTATCAAATCTTTTGTCCCAAAAGTCTAAACATTACAAATTATGTAACTTATGAACTTGATAATATTTTACTGAATCTCTTCAAATTACATACATTTAAAATTTCATTTATATTCATTTACCTGAGGTAAGCATGCATTTCAAAAGTAAAAATTTACATGTTATAATGTTTTCTAAAATAATCCGAATGTGACAAATTAGGTAATTTCCTCAGAAAAATACATAATAAATCTAGAATCTTTTTGAAACTATATGCATTTCAGAAAATTTCTATCAAAATTTTAATTTTCCCGTTTTTTCTCACAAAGTTAATTTTTTGAATGGTTAAATGATTTATTTAACTAATTTTAGAATAAAGTAGTCCATTTTATTTGAAAAAAACTTTGCACATTTAATGCACAAATGATTAAAGTACAGTATTAGTTACTATTTATTACACAACTGTTATCAGAATAAGTTGGATTACATACATTAAATCAAAATTATCCCTAGCAAAATATCCAGCTGCGCATATGCTCTACCTCGACTAGACGTGGCTAATTGCCGGGTCGGCGGACCTCAATCTCATGGCCCGTGACTGGGGCCTGCCCATTTATAAGAGCCGGTCCATAGAACCGGTCCTGAACCGCAGGTTCACCGACCCGGCGGGTTTCGGGCGATTTCGAACCAATACAGTCATTTAATAAAAAATAACACCGTGGCCAGTCGTCCAACTCGCGGCCTAGACCAGACTGGCGGGGACAA